CCTGATGTATTATCTTATATATGACATTAATTATTGTTCCACTTGACTTAAACTATGAACCTAATCACAAATATTTTAAATTTATTTCATACTATTATTATTTCATGTATTTACACCTTTGACCTAATTCCCTCACCGGATATAATTCCTTTATAAAACCATATATATACGATTGTACAGCTTGCTAATAAATTCTAATGTATTTGCCCAACACATTTCGAAGAATCTGGTCACACACACACACACACACACACACACACACGGACATGTCATAGGAATATATATGAAATTAATAGAGTTAAGAGGTGAGAAAATAAATTTAGGTCAAGTTAAAAGGACATATTCAAGGTCTAAATAACAATGAAGACCACTACACCATATAACAGAGGTAATAGTACATTTGCTATGGTATCAAATCAAAACAAAATTTACGAAGGAAGGTTTAGTGTGATGACGAATCGTTGCTTTGAACGCATTAAGTTGGTTTAAACTTTCTAATTGCCAGCTAGGACTTCCCCAAACTTTAGGATACGCTTTAAAAGATGTGTTAACATCAATTTTATGTTCTGTTTCCTCTATATATTATATTTCGCAATGGAGGAGCTGGGTCTCTTGTTCTCACCATTAATGGGTTCTGAAGATTCCATTTGCTTCTGTAGACATTTAGAAATATGCTCTAAAGCCAACCCTTATTTGCAGAGATCGATAATTCCTCCCTATGTATGTGTGCCCACCGCAATCACCAATTTGAATGTATGAAATATAATCTACTAATAATCTACAAGTCATATACTTCTTCGAATGTTGATTTGAATTATTCAGTGTTAAGAAACATCATTGATGTTACTTACAATCACTCTCTAACGTAACTGTACAACCTGATAAAGAAGTTATCTTCTATAGTTTGGTTTGTAAGGGTTAGTTTTGTTTTTACGAGTTGATCACGGATTGATATCAGTTAGAGAACCATTGAAAACCAGCCACAGGGAGTACTGGACATCTGTTACATCCTGGTTTGGGAATCATTGGCAGTACGCACCCACCACAGTGGGGTTCGAACCCAGGACCTTCCGGTTACAAGGCAAGCTGGCTCGTATACCATTCAGCCAATGGGACCCGATTCAATGACCAGTCCATGAATTCTAACTTCTACCAATTAGTGATTTAGCGCGACCCCAACCAATGTCGTAGGTAGGACATTCACCCCACACGAATTGGTAGAAGTTAGAATCCATGCACTGGCCAATGAATCGGGTCCCAGCGGCTGAATAGTATACGAGCTCGCCTTGTAACTGGAGGGTCCTGGGTTCGAACTAGGATGAAACAGCTGTCCAGTATTCCCTGTGGCTGGTTTTCAATGGTTCTCTAACTGATATCAATCCGTGATCAACTCGTTAAAAGAAGTTATCGAAAAAAAAGACAGAATATTCAAGAATGTTCAATAAACCACTAGTGGGGTTTGATAGAATTCAGTCAACCAACACCAAAAGACTATAAGACTATAGGATATGATTTAGGTTAATCCACTTCAGTAATAATAATAATAATAATGTTCCACAATTTTATGGAGCAGTTACATGGTTGGATGTTCACTTTCAACTGACAAATACAGCGAAAGGAAAACAAACAAACAAAAAGCAACATGGGAATTGTGTGATAACAAAGCTAAAATAACCAAAGCAAGCATCTGTCAATATCGATTTGTGTCTAGTGAAAAAAAATGAAGTAATAATGTATGTTACTGGATTATAAATCTTATTTCTTTATTGATAAGTAGTAATGAAATCAATAATGCATTTAGCAATGCGTTGTCACACTTATGAAAGAAGAGGTGTTCATTAGCAATATCAACCTCAAGCTGTACAATCGGCTGTATCTGTCTGTCTGTCTGTTTTCGACATAGAACTTTGCACAAATGTGCGGAAGTTCAAGTCGCCACATTCCGTGTAGCACGCGAAGCAAGAGAAGAAAGTACAAGAAAAGCATAATCGAAACAGTGAGCAGAGGTGTGAGACAAAGGAGTAATAAAGAAATACAAAACAATTTCATTGAAGATCATAAGTCACAGGGAGTGGATGCATCTGCGCCACTGAGAACGATTTTGAGCCATGTCACCAATTGTTTCCAACCATAGATTTTTACCGTCCCGAGGACCCCAGCCTGGAAGTCTACACCTTTCTACGTGGCTTAGACCAACTGTTGTGGATTTCATTGACTGATGCCAAGTTTTTGTTTGACCGCCGCTAGCTTTTTTCCAGCCTGATCCTATATCCGCTAACATAGCTCGTCGAGGGAGGCGATGGCTTGGCATACGTAACACATGTCCTAACCATCTCAGTCGATGTAGCTTCACGACTTCGTCGATTGATTTCCTCTGTTTACCTAGAACTCGACGCCTAACCTCCATGTTGCTCACCTTATTATGCCACTTTACACGGGAAATAGAACGCAGGCACCTATGATCAAAGGCAGCTAGTCTTTTCATGTCTTCCACTCTCAGTGGCCAGGTCTCACAACCATAAAGGAGGACGGAGCGGACTGATGAGCAGTACACCCGCCCTTTGGTCGATAGTCGAACATCTCGTCTACGCCAGAGTCGGCGTAAACTAACAAATGCGAAACGAGCCCCTTGTATTCGTGCTGAGATTTCGTCAGAGATCAGCCCGTTGGGGCTGATGGTACTTCCCAAATAAGTGAAGCGGTCAACGTGCTCTACCACTTCACTTCCTATTTTTAAACTAGGCGTCGATGTAGTCCAGTCCTGTAACATCATCTTGCATTTGGCGGGAGCGAATCGCATGCCAAACATTCGTAGATTGCTGTTCAAGGTGTTTAGAAGACTCTGCATTTTGTCAGCGTCTTCGCCTAGAAGGACTATATCGTCTGCTGTATAACAACAGAAGGAATGTTTACAAACATATTTCATTGAAATTGTAAGTTTTAGATAACAATTATGTAGTACAGACAACACATTAGTCCGGTAGCGAGGGGATCTTTTTTCTATCCCCATGGCAAAACCATAAGGTTAATTATTCGATGATAGGTTTGGATAGTAAACGCTGCTGGGTACGATCGATATGCCTAGTTATACGGAGCAGGTGAATTGACTGATACTCATTGAATGAAAAGCAGCTACCACTTCTGACCTTATCACTGTGTACCTAGCAATTCATCTGCTCCTTTTGATCAAGTTATGTCAGACATATCCAGTGTTTACTATCCAAACGAACTATCGAAGATTTTTTTCTTCCTTCACGTTCCCAGTGGAACATGGGGCTTCAAGCTAGTGGCTTGAAGTTTCTGTAGCAGTGGTAATTATTTTTACAGGATGGGATTGCTAGCCTCATGCCCAACCTTTCCTCTTTACCAGCATTATTTCTGGCTTAGCGAGGTAAAGGAGTGCTTATGTGGCCGGGGATCGAACCCCGGACCATGTGCATGGTCGACGAGCGTTCTAACCGCTATGCCACCAACGCACATCGAAGATTTACCTCCATAGTTTTTTCAGAGGAGAAAAGAGATCCCCTACAGTTCTATTCTGGAGCACCTAAGTGACTCTGGACACCGGGGAGAACTTGAAAACCAACCTCAGCATCATCTACAGAATAGGTAGAAGTCTTACCATAACAGCAAGAATCAAACTTCCTGAAATGGCAGAATCTAGTATCTATTGCTTTGTAGGTTTGTTAATTTAAATCCAATCTTCTAGAGTTTATTTTATTTTATCAATGTAGAAGGAAGGTGAGAAAAAACTACAGGCACAAAAAAACATATGAGAAGAAAAATTTCATCATGTCTAAATTATTTCAACTAAAGGCATCTTGCATAGCATGGAATGCTCAGTGCTATACAACACTAAAGGATGATTGTGGAGACAATACAGAATTAATAATCGATTCACAAAAAATCATCAGTTTCAGTGTAGGTGATGATGGAGGTGAAATGAGAATCTGGGTCATCAAATACAATGTCATAGATTTCTAACCAGTGGGGACCTTCAATCACTACCCGATGAGGAATATTCGCTACGATAGTATCAAGTTGGAAAAGAGTTAGGGGTGATCAAATGAAAACCTTGCGTTAGACATCGTGTCATTGACAGTTGATTCTTGAACCAGACACAGTAAGGTGCAGACCACCTACTTGTGGTCCTCAAGATGCCAAGAACCAATAACTGGAGACCATTGGTAAGACAAATGAATTTATACTTTACAATCTCACAGAACCCCCATGTTTTTGATTTTGATTATACCTTGACTCCACACAGTATTTTTGGCACAGGTATGGAATTTTCAGCATGGATATCGGTAGCCCAAATTTCGCAGGCCGACCGTAGACATCAGGTGTGGGTCGGCAGGGGATCGAACCCCGGACCATGTGCATGGTCGGCGAGAGTCCTAACCACTGTGCCACCGACGTACAGTGTTATTGTTCTTTCACACATTTCTCATCATTTTAGTCCTTTTGAATTTCTTTTTACCTTTTTTGCTATCTTTGTGGGGTAAATGGAGTATGGTAAATAAAACTGCTGCACTTCCATGCAAAGTTCCATGCTAAAACTCAGTCTGTCAGTTGTCATTCATCCAGGAACTCAAAATTAATAATAATGTATGGTTTCAACTAATACAACTACACTACATATTAACGTGTGCGTCGGTGGCATAGCGGTTAGGAAGCTCACCGACCATCCACATGGTCCGGGGTTCGATCCCCGTCCACAGAAGCACTCCTTTACCTCGCTAAGCCAGAAATAATGCTGGTAAAGAGGAAAGGTTGGGCATGAGGCTAGCAATCCCATCCTGTAAAAATAATTACCACTGCTACAGAAACTTCAAGCCTCTAGCTTGAAGCCCGATGTTTCACTGGGAACGTGAAGGAAAGAAAAACATATTAACGTACAGGTATCCTCTACAACGATGCGCATATTTCACTTTTATTATTAGTCGATAATATTGAGAACAGTCTAGCCAGCTAGCAATAATCTCCATAAAAGAACTTACTCTCTTTTTGATTTTGAGTAACATCCCCATAATTTTCACGTTCATAATCTTCCTCTTCTTCTTCTTCATCCCCATCATCGTACTGACTTTGTGTAGAATCTCCGTATTCTTCATCATCATATTCACCATTCGCTTCGTTGTCTTCATCACCGCCATCATCTTCATCCTCGCCATCAGAGCCTTGATCTTCATCAAATGCCCACAGATATGCCTCATCACCACCACCACCACCAACTTCACCATCTTCTGCTTCTCTCGACTCGTCGTTATCATTCGGTACAGGTAAAGTGTGTAAAAGACCAACTGAATCCAGTGTTTGAATAATTGATCGTACACCAGATCGACCGAATTCATTAGCATTTAAATCCAGAGATTCTAAGCGTGATTTATTCCCCAAAGATAAGACCAAGTTGATTCCTGCTGAAGCTTTGATTTCATTACCAGCTAAATTCAAGACTCTTAGATTAGGAGTTGTATCAGGATCTTCAAATACTGAAGCAAGTGATTTTGCACCAGCTGATCGAAGAATACAATCACTTAAATACAACTCCTGTGTAAATGAAATATGTATAAGTAAAATATTGTGTTGTTTCACATGATTTATAAAGAAAATTTTCAAAACCAAACTTCACTGCTGTTTAAAAACACCTTCGTCTTTTTTTCACACAGTCCCAATAAAAATAAGTTGAGTAAGAAGTTACAGCACTTACACAATGATAAACATAAAGGAGTCGTGATAATCATTACATAGCACTACACACTGGTTAAAGTGAATTCTTTTCATCTCTGTCAATTATACGCAGCAACCACTGGCTAAATTTCAGGACATATCTTTGAGGCTGTATTAGCATATATACAGATGAAGACTGTGCAGATGAATAGGGATGAAAAACTCAACAAATCTTGGGAATAAAAGCGAAAACAATGCTTCGCAGAAAAGAACTCAGGTTCTCAAAGATTAATACAAACATACCATGCGATTCGCTCCTACCAAATGTAGGATGATGTTTGCTGCAGGACTGGACAACACTGCCTCTTAGTTTAGAAATAGGCAGTGAAGTGGTAGAGCACGTTGACCACTTCACTTATTTGAGAAGTACCATCAGCCAGTCCCAACGGGTTGATCTCGACGAAATCTCAGCACGGATACAGAGGGCTGGTTTCGCACATGCCAGTTTACGCCGTCTCTGGGGTAGACGTGATATCCGGATATCGACCAAAGGGCGTGTGTACTGCTCAGCAGTCTATACCATCCTTCTTTATCGTTGGCTGTGAAACCTGGCCACTGAGAGTGGAAGACATGAAAAGATTAACTGTCTTTGATCATAGGTGCCTGAGTTCTATCTCCCGTGCGAAGCGTAATAATAGGGTGAGCAATATTGAGGTTAGGCGTCGAGTGCTATGTAAGGTGAGGAAATCAATCGATGAGGCTGTAATGTTACATCGACTGAGATGGTTAGGACATGTGTTACGTATGCCTAGTCATCGCCTTCCTCGACGGGAAATGTTAGCTGACATAGGGTCAGGCTGGAAAAGTGCTAGCGGCGGTCAAACTAAAACTTGGCACCAGTCAATGAAATCCACAACAGTTAGTTTAAGCCAGCTACATAGGAAGGTACAGACTTCCTGACTGGTTGGGGTCCTAGGGACGGTAAAAACCAATGGCTAGAGACAATCGGTGATATGGCTCAAAATCGTTCTCAGTGGCCCGCGCAGATGCATCCACTCCTTGTGACTTATGATTTCCAATGAAATTGTTTTGTTCTTCTTTATTACTCTTCCTTTGTCTCACACCTCTGTTTACTGTCTCCATTATGCATTTCTTCTACTTTCTTCTTCTTCTCTTGCTTTGTGTGCTGAGTGAATTGTGGGGACTGGAACTGCTGCAATCAGTGCAAAGTTCTATGTCGAAGACAGACAGACAGACATACAAACATACACTGGTCGGTCGGTTATTTATCAAATTGATCAGGAAACAGTCATGAGATGAACGATCAGGTCAGTAAGCGAGTACAATCGCAAAGGCAGCTACAAATATACCAAGTTAACAGAGTAATTAGACAATTAGAACTCAGTTACCCGATAACAAGCTACGAACAACACTTTCATTGTGAGGACCATTGGTGATACTCTATTTAGTTGCCCAGGCTGAAATAGGAAGGAGCAGGATTCGAATTCGGGTCCCGCTAGTTGGAAGTTTAGTGCATGTGTTAATCAGCTACATCTCCACAATGACCACAGCAAGCTACCGAAAATCCACTTGTAGAGAAATCCTTATACTCCAATAAGGCTTGAAGTTTATGCTGTCTGTCTGTTAAGGCAGTTGTGTAAGATATACTAGAAACTTCACTGCTACACTGTCTAGCCTACACAACATAACGCTTTTAATGAAAAGTTCATAGTAGCAGATAATTGGCTTATTTTGTAATTGATATCAATTCATGGAATCAATTAAATTCCTGCATCAGCCCCCGTTTGAATATCTACTCACTGTGCATTAAGGATTAACTTCAAAATAGATTTTCCAAAGCTTTTGGTGAGAAGTTACGACCAACAAGGCTCATCAACCATGACACTAGATGACAGTAATCCCAGTTTAATTTAGTTTAGTTAAAAATCAGTTACCCAAAGCAAGGCTATGAACTACGTGCACTTATTGTATGCCAGGGTGGATGATACTAACGAACTTTCCAAGTTCAAGCAGGTGGAGCGGGATTCAAACTAAAGACCCATTGCGAGAGGCATGAGCCAATAAATCACATTTCCAATAAGTATGATATAGATACCAAAATCAAGTCATCCTAACCTAATCTAATCATCCGACGGTAACGCGTTGATGTCGCAGTCTGACTATTCTAGATATGATCTCTTATGAGGTTGTGGGCACACAGCAGAAAAATCAACACTTTGACGACCAGTCCTTGCTTTTTAGAGGTTGATTCGTAAAGAAATCCACCTCGAGAATAAAATAGTTGTTCAATCGAAAATTTCAACTATTAAACACTACACGATAAAGGGATGGACATCAGTGAGAGAACCACTGAAAACCAAGCAATACTGGATAGCTGTTTCGTCCTAGTTTGGAATTCATCGGCAGTACGCACCAACCACGTTTCGGACTCAGGACCTTCCACTTACAAGGCAAGCTCACAGATCATTCAGTTGCTAAGACCCGACTCAATCGTCCATGAATTCTAACTTCTATCAATTTTTGGTGCTTGCTGGTGACTTGCTGCAAGACAAAGTTGCATGGAGTTCTTGTGGAAAGTCATGACTAGTGGGGTTCACCCGGTCAGAAGCGAGGACAAATATTCGCCGATGACATTCGCTAGTGCCAGTCACGCCAAAATCACGAATTGATAGAAGTTAAAATCCATGGACTGGCCATTGAGTCGCATCCCAGCGGCTGAATAGTCTACGAGTTTGCTCTGTAACTGAAAGGTCTTAGGTCCAAGGTCCGGTAATGGGTGTGTACTGCCAATGAGTTCCAAAAGTAGATGAACTAGCTGTCCAGTATCCCTTGGTTTTCAATAGTTGTCGTCTAACTAACATCAGTCTGTGATCAAACTTGAAACAAATCAAATCTCTACATCAACAAAAAATCTTAAAAACTATACCATACGACAGATCGACTCATTTTATATCTTAAAACGCATTACTATTAAGAATACACATACATCTCCACATATGAAGAGACGTTTTTAGCTTATCCGTGTACACACTGTACAGGATTTCATCATGAGCTGACATTGGTTAGACAACCTTTGGAAAACCTATATATATATATATATATATATATATATACAAGAGTTACTGAAGCGGTGTAGTAGTCACAAGGTTGTTGCTTTAACTTTTGGAGTACTTCCCACTGTATCAGTAAGGCAGATATTGAACAACCAACCTTTGCCTATTTAGACTACATCCACTTTTGAATGTTATGTTGGAGGAAACTTGCAATGATGTATAATTTTGGAAAATTAATATGAGAAATTCCGAGGGGCATGCAGGGCTATGTGGTCACGTGAAGTCTAAGAAAACATCCTCACAGTGGGCAGTGCTCGACAAAGAAACTTATTAGGCTGAAGTGCAGCATACTGCATCTATCTAAGTGAAATTCTAGATTGACACAAATGACTGCACTGAGAACTGAGTAGCAATACTATTTAGACCGATCATGCGATCATTCAATACAAGACATATCAATTATAATTATGTTGAGAAAAAATAACTAATGGTTACTTCAGCAAATAAAAACTATAAAATCAATACTATGGAGAGAAAAAACAACTCACCTCTAGGTTGACTAATGATGATAAAGCGCGTGCAACTGCCTCACCACCACGCGGAGTAAGCGAATTGTCAGAAAGATTTAGAACTCGCAAGTTCAAGTTTGACTTGATTATGTTCACTAGGGAAAATACTCCTTCGATTCCGTGTATTCCAATGCCATTTTGATAAAGGGAAAGCTAAAAGATTTTAATAACAAATTTTATTTAGAGAATACCTCTTCTAAGGTGCCCATGTCACAGAACACTTTAGAAAGCATTTTAGCTCCAACATTCTCAAGACGATTTCTTCCGCCAGAAAAAGTTTTAAGCAACAGTCCTTGTTTCCCATACAAATTCCTTCCTTTTTCTAAGGCTTCGGTAAGATGTCGACATCCTTCATGTCCGAGACCTTGGTTGTTCATTTTTAATACCTGCAAAATTATTAGGATTTGTTTAACATTCGTAAAATGCACTAACCTTCAGAGTACAACAAGTATTGCTTGCGAGTAAATCAGTGACACCAACAACCCCATTGGGTCCGAAAGCATTATCGCTGAGATCTAATTCAGTTATTTGACAGCCTGAAGCTATGAGACCGGCACTCAAATGTTTCAGTGCTGGTGCTATCTCTGACTTCAAACGACCTACAATCAGCATGGTTAAAAAAAAGGAGTTGTTTAATTAGAAGATTTAGAATTCATAACCTGGCATGCGAAAAAAATTCATGTTGATAAGGTCAGAAAGACAACCTAGAGGTTTAATGAAACCCTTATTAACACCACTATTGACTAGAGCAACCATAAGAGACAATTCTTTGTCTACGCCATACCTGAGGTATTTTCTGTACGATACTCTCAATATCCTGATAAGCTTCCGCCAATAAATAATTCTGACGAGCAACCGTATCTTACGAATCGAATACAGCTTTAACATCGAGAATTGCAAGAATTGTTAACCTGCAATAAGTGTAGAAATCAGTAGGCAGTAAACACACGGCTAGTGTATCTACGACCTGCATGAAAACCCAGTCTACTCTTAGTCGAAAACAGCTAGTATTTATGATGTGATCTGTAACAAATCAGTACCCTAATAATTATGACATATTTTAAGTGGGCTTTTTCAATGACAGATACAATTATGACCTTACTCCTCAGGGATAGAAGACTTGATCTTCTACAATTTAAACAACCCAGTGAGCTCTCTGGCAAGAGTCTCGCATGCAACGCGGAAACTCGCCGAGAGCAAGTTGTTCACGTTGAGTAACTTAATCCTTGACTTTCCCTTCAGATGCCTGTTTTGTTGAGTAGACTGGTTTCAGCCGACAGTACAATTCTACGTTTTAGAGTACTTAACGCTATGGGAATATGGCACATTGGCTTAAGCACTCGGCTTTCAATCAGTAAGTTCTGGGTCTGAGCCCCGCCAGACCAAATTCAGCCTGTGCAACTTAGTACCATCAGCCCCCAGTGCAATAAGTATTGCTTATAGTATAGTATTGCTTATCCTGAGGAAGTCCTACTCACTGCCTTCACGTGGCGGAGGTGTTTCTCACCAAAGTGAGAGGGCGAAAGCGGATGCCCGGTGCTCTTCACCGGGTTGACTGTCCATTGGATGACAGTCTAGGGGAGATGGCTAAACCCTGATTCCAAACCTCCAACAACTGGCGTATGAAGCTCACCGGAGCTCACCGGTAGACGTATGGACAAAGGGCTTATCGGATGCCCTGGATGTCTGGCCCCATTCTAAAAGGCGTATGAACCGGACTCCGGTCACCGGCTGCCAATGGATAGTGGACTCCCTACTCCACTCCTACTGTCTTGTAGGTCACACTTGGTTGTGTAAAGGCTAGAGCTGTACTCTCAAACAAAAGGCCGAGCGATGCTGGGGACATCACTCGTACCAAATTCCCATGAAACTTCATGGTTTATGAAGCCGGCTCATCCTCCCGTAGGAGATAGCCGAAGTAAAGTAAGTAAGGACAAGTGAGTTCTAACAACAACGTAGTCAGCGCTAGTGCTCCAGTATACTAAACTCTTTTCAAGGTGTTCTATCCAGTGTTCCAGGCAATGCTGAGACTTTCTGAGGGGCTTATCATCTGTTTCACACACCGAAGAGAACAAGTGATGCTGTCAGATAAAACCCCACTTCTACCTCATTTGTATGTTATGTTCGCCAGGCTGGACTATTCTTTTATAACCGTTGAGTAATTTTATGCTAGTCCTGTGCAAAATGGCGAACTTGTTATACTATCGGAAGCATCGATGCAAGTCAAGAAAGAGAAAGGAACTTGGACGAAAGCAGTTGTCGCTACTTGGACTTCCTTCTAGACCAAAAGAGGTCTTACTTGGAATCGCCAAAATATTTTAATAATGTTGCTATAGTTCGTCTATAATTTCGCGAGTACCAATAGCTAACCTTAATCAGTAAAAGTTCATTTGCCCAAAATAAATATTCCACGTACCATGGTATGAGCAAAACTTGTGTGACGGTTAATGAGACTACCCACTTCCATACTTTGAAGTAGATGAGGCGGGATTCAAATCCAGGTTGATTACTTGAGCCAATGAGGTACATTTTCACTAACAGCTGATTTTAGGCCTAGCTCGGCTAGCTACTTAGTTGCAAAACTAGGTTTAATTAACTGACATCAAAAAAAACCACAGTATTAAAAAAAATATACCCTATCAAGGTGAATAAGTTCCATTCTTATATCAATACAACTAGTTTGCTTAAGATTGCCTGTTTAGAACATTTTCAATGACCACCAAAACACGGGAAACACTACACACGGTAAGTTTCAGAATGCAGACAAGAACTTCAGACAGAACAGGCATTCAATACACATTCAAGCTTTGGGAATCTGATTATGCAGTGATCGATTTAAATCAAAACTTGAAGGCCACAGACAGAGCAAACGCAATAATTGTTGTCAGGACTTTACACCAGAGGAAAGTTGGTGTGACTGCTGACTTCCCACCCAACGCCTTAATGCCCATCTTTCTAAGCTAATATTCCTAATTAGTGCATTCAAGTCCCTGGTTAGTGCAGTATAACACATTCTGTTGGTTTAAAATACTCATTTGATAGTAAAACCTAACTACATCCTGGCTGTAATCCGTCGGTGAAAATATAGTATACAGTCTGTTTGAAGAAGGAAAGTAACAACATAGTCGTGTTATACACTGTAATGAAACATTTTCTAAACGAAACTATTTAGACTTGAAATGATTCAAAAGAGGGGTAATAAACAAAAGTGTAAGGCAAAAAGAATAGTAATATGGAATCGGATTTTATTGGATATTATAAATTACAAGGAGTAAACGCATCTGTGATATTGAGGACGACTGCGAGCCATATCACCGATTGTCTCCAGCCTTCATTGGTTTTTGCCACCCCGAAGACCCCATCCAGCCTATCAGTCTACACCTCCTTACGTGACTGGCTGACCTAAACTAACTGTTGCGGATTTCATTGAACAATAAAGCCATGTTTTGGTTTGACCACCACTAGCTCCTTTTCAACCTCAACTTATGTCAGTCAGCTAACATTGCTCGTCGAGGAAGACGGCGGCTAGGCATGCGTAAAACATATCCTAACCATCTCTATAGGTGTAACTTTACAACCTGTTGACTGATTCCCCCTTCTTACCGACGAACGACGCCTAACGCCAATATTGTTCACCTTATTACACAACCACCTAACATGGGAGGTAGAACGCGGGCACCTTTGATCAAAAACACCTAGCCAGGCTTTACATATCTTCCACTTTCCGTTGTCATGTCTAACTCACAGTTAGCCATAGAGGAGGACAGAGTCAACTGCTGAACAGTGCACACGTATTTTGGTCGGTAGCAGACCAGATATCACGTCTCTGAAGTCAGTTAGGGTTATTGAGGTATCCATGATGAAATCAAACAGAAACGGGGATAGGGGACATCCCTGACGAACACCGCTAGTTGCTACCACTTCAGATGACAACTCTGTATGCTCTCACCTGGCCGAAACAGAGTTAGGCACTTCGCAGTGAAATAGTTCTAGTTTTCTTTAAGTCTAAGTTTTGAAAATGTTTGCTTGGTTTTAGTTCATCAACCTTTTGAAGAGTAAAGAATGTGACACTAACCTGTCAGTACATAAGAAGAGGTAGATAATAGTCATCGGCCGCTAACTAATCGACATATCTATAATCTGAATAAGTGGTGAAGAAATTCAAGGAATAAACTATGACACAAAAGCATTTTGTACCCAGTAAGTGTATGGAGGTGGTGAAGTTGCATAAAAACATTGAAAATGAGACGGATAAAGAACAGAATTAGTTCCATTACATGCCAACACTATGCAGAATAATAAATAATGCTTTCTGCACTTTATATTATTTCAAAGCGTCAATTAAACCCTGGGAATAAAGAGGTTCCTTAAGGCCTTAATAGATACGCTTCTCCAGAAATGACTAGTTACAACCATCGATAGGTGAAACAGATCTGCTACAGGCAATATTTTAACTACAAAGACAAATGATGCAGTAATAAATACACATACCCGTAAACAGGTCGTTGAATAAACAACGCTTGATGATGCGATTTTTTTCCAGAGCGACACCAATAGGTTTGGCAGCCTCAATTCCAAGTGTATTACCGCTGAGATTTAAGCACACAGCGTCCAAGTTCGAAGATAATGTCGAAACAATATCATTTGCATCAGAAGCTTTGTCCAGCTTGAGTGTGCGACCCGCAAAGCTGACAGTCTTCTCACCGTATCCATTCATTTCAGCTACCATTACCACAAATCGAGTGGGTGGCGTCAAGCTTTAATTCCCCGCGTTATTCATCAAGTAAGTGTGAGAGGAAGCCCCCGCAGAGACTGAACTTATCCGTCATGTTGGTTGATGGATTGATGGGAATTCTCATTTCCTGAATGGTCCCCGTCACGTGGTCCGACTGAGGCACGCTGTTAGCATATTGGTTGCAATGCTTGGTGTTTCAGGCGGACTGTATAAAATATTGACAAAATGAGCAAGATAAGATAGTAGGAAGGTAATGTAATGTACACAAATAGTCACGTTTACGTAGAAGCCGCACCTTTCGGCATTATAATAGTTATTATTGTTTCCTTTAATTCCTAGAGGAACATAGGGTTTCAGCCACACGTCTCCACTGCGTTCGGTTCTCTGCCAACCTTTTCACCCGGCGCCACGTCTGTCCATATTCAGATTCAGATTCAGATGATAAGGATAGGAGGCTCTACTGGCATGTGTTAATCCTTGCAAAATATATCTCTGCAGAGATCCAACTTTTCTTTGAAAGTGTTAACCGATGGGGCTGATACTACTGAATCAGGTAAGGAGTTCCAGTCGTTGGCCACTCTGTGAGAGAATCTAAATTCTGCACGTATTTTAATCGTCCTCGGTTTGAGCAGCTTTTTGAGGTGACCCCGTAAATGGATCCCAGAAGGGGAGAAAAGTTTAGAAAGGTCAGTTCCTAAATCACCCTTAAGTATACGGTATGCTAAAATTAAGTCACCTCTCTTCCTTCGGTATGATAACGGGAACATGCTTTCATCTTCTCTTCACATATGTCACCCTCACACTGATGACCAACTCTCCGCTTATCATTCGGTTGGGTTCCACCTCGGCGATGGCCTGTGGTGTAATGTCATTTGATGGTTGGTTTTCTGAGAGTATGACCAATCCACCTCCATTTCTTCCTGCATATTTTTGCATAATCATCTCCCCGTTGCTCCCAGAGATTCCTATTGCTGATCTCTTCTGGCCATCTAGTCTCGAGTGCTGAGCAAAGACAGCATCTTATTTTTCATGCTGATTGCTGCTAACCTCCACAGAGAGTTGATAGTAATGAAAGCTTGCCTTGCTTTCCCGATTCTCGCTGCTTTGATATCCTCGTCAGTTCCGTCCGCCTGTAGTTGAGACGATGCTTCTCAGGTAGGTAGTTAGGTAAAGAAGTTTGCTTCTTTCAGATTTCTAACATTTACGCTGATTGTTGTCCGTTGTTTTCTATGTTGCTGTTGGCCAGGAATCTCCACCACCTCTGTTTTCTCTATGTTCACTCTAAGTCCTATCTTTGATGTTCCTTCTGCCAATTTGTTGTTTTCCACTTGCACATATCATCGGCAAAATCAAGATCCTCCAACTTCTTCGTATGGGTCTTTTTTATCCCTGTCTCTTCGCGTCGCCTGCTATGTTCCATTATCCAGTTTGTGGAGTATGTAAAAATATGATTGTACACTTTTCGTTAGTTGTAAAAATTAGAGACATTGTACATGATTTTTGTTTAAAACGATTCTTGTTAAAATACAGGTAACTTCCGTGCAAGAATTGGAAATACACTATACTGTTGGAGTCTTCGCCTTCTTCCTGGCCATTTCTGCTTACTTGCTCTACTCATACCGTGTTGTGTACTTTGGATTTATTGTAAAAGTCTACTATCCTCAACCGAAGACAATTCTACAACCGGCACACAGCATCTACAGCAGATACAATCCCAACAGTTAACATTCTCGTGAAGTGTATAAAAAATTTGTAGCAAAGGACTTAAACTTTATATCCAAGTAATCCTTTTTATTGATATAACTCGTTACTGCATTTTTGGTAATATATTGTTATTTAACGTTTCATTGACTGGGATTATTATTCTCATATTTGTAATGTTAGTGAACTCTCATAACTGTTGCCTTCAGGTTTATCTCAATCAGGAGAATCGCTGGAGCAGCCTTTTCTTGCTCCTGTTTTCACTTCAAATGTTTCCGTGATTTTCCCGTTGCGAATTACTTGGCGCGCAGCAATCTCGTACAACTGTTGGATGAGATGTATAACTGTTGGCGGCATCCACTGGTAGCGAATGAGTTTCCAAATCACATCTCAATCGGCACTGTCAAAGGCCTCATCATAGTCAGTGGAGTTGAGATAGAGAGATGAATGCCATTTCAGGCTCTGTTTAATGATGATTCTTAGTGTTGCGATTTGATCGATACATGACTTACTTCTCCTGAATTCAGTCTGTTCTGATCGAAAGTGCGGTTGTCTTCTGGGTGACCAGAGAAGATCACTGAGTCTCCCATCGACAATTCTGTGTATCCACTCCCATTCCATCTGATTTCGCATTTTTTTAGTGCTTGAATACCATATCTTTTCATCTTATTTGCAGTCTGTGTAGCTTTACCAATCTCACGCATGGTGCGGAGTCCCATGTCCCCAAGACTTTCTTTTATCCTAAGGAGACTCATCGAGCTTAATTTTCTGTTGCAGCTTTGTCTACAAGGTGGGGTTGCTTGCCTCACACCCAAACCTTTCGGCATACTGCGATTCAATGAAGACTTCAAGTCTCTGGATACCAACGCAGCCTATATCCGTGTAAAGAACATAGCTGTTTGACAAAACAATGCTATCAGTTCATGGAAATCACCTATAAATGCCAACAGAAGCTTCTGGGGGAATTATCGTGATTTAAAAGCGTATCTATAAGCGCATTTAAAATATATTTGCACTGACCAGTGCACTGTATATGGGTTATGTGGATTCAATGTATAAAATATACCTTTTTTTAATGTTGTGCCACTGTCTGCTTAGCTGGTTGCTAGGCTAAGAAGTGTAGGTGGATTGTTGCAAGGGCAGTGCAGTGGAGAAGGCGATCACTCATTTAATTTCTCTCTCTGTTTCACTTAGTGCTTTAATTCCGTGCATAGCATTATTATACACATAGACTGTGTTGATTATGACAACTGGATATATTCAGCTCTACCACTATCAGTCTATTGTCTGTTATACAACTCCCATTAACACTGTATACTTAGTGCTGCAATGTTTTTGATCATCAATAGTGGAGATGAATTTCTCCTGAAATTTCCATTTACAGGAAGCAGTATATATGCAGTATCACGATTGGATGTCTAGGTTGAATTGTATGGCATTGTTATCCTCATCAACGCAACGATTTTGTGTGCCTTACAGTATTTTAAGTATTTCTCTAGGCTTTTAACACTGTACATAGCAGTTTAAAGTCGAGGCATGTTCAGTTTTTATTTGACGGCTATAATTTCTTATACATGAGAATGTAATTAATATGGGATTCACAAAGCCCTGTTCACTAGACATCACTGAGATTGTGGTTTAACTTCTAAGTTACACTTTTGCAATACTTCCCTTAATGTAAACGTATTTAGTGTGAAGTTGATCTGCAAGTAATCTTCATGAGAGAATGACGTCTCGAAAGCATGGATGTTTCAGGCATTATCTTGAAACTTGCGTATAATCCTCAAATACTGGAAAACATATGAGGTCTGTTTATGTATACGGCGTTGATATGAAAATCAGCTGTGGACTACAAATACTTTTATTTACATGGGAATTCTACTTAGTGGGAATAGAATCAATGTATTCACTAAAAATAGTTTCCGCTGAAGGCAATCTCCTATAGCCACTACCTTAGTGAGCAGCTAAACGTTATTTTTGAAATGCAAAGTCAAGAAGGACATTCGGAGAACGTCTCCTAGTCGAAAAAAGTAAATATATCCCAATCTCCACGACAGTGTCCAGAGGTATCTATCCTATCACCTCAAATGACTCACTATTTGCCGTCACTCAAAAAGCAAAAATAAATTTCATGAAGAGAGGGTGCTTATAATTTCCAGATGTTGTAGTGTATCATGAAGAAAAAGCTATGTCCATACGTTATAACAGCTAGAAAAACGATATTAATCCGAAGAATAGTGACTACGGTACTCAGTCACAGAACATACGTCTAATCGTGCCAACAACTGTTTCGCCAAGAAAAAGAAGACCACTAGTTCAAGGAAAATTTATTTAAAGTTTTCGTAAAAATCGTGGACAGCCGTATTTATAGCCATGGACAAAAGTAAGAATTTGATTATTTGAACTGAAACAAGCCTTTTATACCCAGCCAATGTTTTCAACCCAAATAATAATCAACCTCTCACGACCAACTGCAGACTACAATCCGAATCATTATTCTTGCAAGTTAAAGTCTTGCCTTCATTTAGGATAATTCGTACACTCACCAGACCACTATATACTATCCACCTTTGAAATCGTTTTGCAGCATACTGAGTGGCTAATAACATAGCTTTACTACAGACAGTTTTATTTCATGTATTTGGATTCAGTAATATTAGGCATTAACAATCATTTGTGATACTTACCCTTTATGGGTTTTTGATTGCCTCCCAGCTTCTCCTTGTTCCCAAAAATGCACACAAGCACGACAGAATCACACTTCACATGTGGCTCAGCCTCGTTCAACTCACATTCTCTTAAAACACATTGGGTGTTCGCTAACTGATAATAGACACATTGTTGATATGCTCCCCTTCTCGAAAGACTTCAAAGCTTTTTCAAGTTCAACCTAGGTTCGAAATCCTCCAAGTTTGATATTTTTCCGAAAACCTTGCTAATATCAACTCTGATCGTGGTCTCTTCACTAAACTGGCTTGTAGATTGTAGTATGCCATAAAACTGAACGTGAAAGTCATTGTTCTTCCAGATTTATACATATTAATTAACCAACTGAGCCATCAACGATAGTGGTAACTAACAAATGAACTGAAAACAATAGCTTTTCACACCCAAACATGTTCATGTGCATAATTCCTGATGCTGTTTCAGTAATCACGACGGTTGTCGCTAACAATGCTGGCTGCTATCCGCTTACTTGTAACGACAGCTAATAGCCGTTTGCTAGGTCTGATGCTTGACAGTACAAGGAAAATTTTTAAATTTTTGTTCCCAGTGAAACATAGGGCTTCACGTTTTGGTAGCAGTGTGGTGGGAGCTGTCTGCTAGCCAAATTGGTAGACATTAATTTACGTCCTCAAAATGGTAGTGAGGAAAAAATAAGAACAGAGTGATTCAACAACCAACCACCGCTCGCTTTGCGTAGGCGGATACAGTTAGCATATAGTTGATCTGACATTCAAGAAACAGCCACAAAGAGATCACAGATTAA